GGCGAAATTTTGGGCAATAATTCAAAGTCACGTGAATCACATGACGTGGCCCGAATTATGAAATTTAATTTCTTAATTCCGGCTAAATCCAAAATTTCCAAAATTTTTGCGTTATCCAAAAAAAATTTTACTTCGTTTATACTCCACTGATCAATCAGGGAAATAATTTGACTCATGATGTAAAAAAAAAAGAATGTCGTCCCGTCAATAACACATGATACACCGATCTTCACCATCGAACGTGTTTCTCCAGAACTACCATTACCATTGGATGTCCCTGAAGGTTTTCTTCACGAGTGGTGGATGGTTTTTTGGGAAATGTTTGGTGACGAATATGAACGTCAAACTGGAATTTCATGTCAACATTATTAACTTTATGCAATAATTAAATAGGCAGTCTTATTATATTGTTTAATGCGATGCAAGAAAATGGAATCTAACATAGTTAGATTATTAAATAAACTAATACTTGATTGTTATATATGTTATATATATTTGATATGCAAAATAGAAAAATATGTAATGGATTTCTGTTTTTCCTTAACGGAAATAAAGCCAATATTTTTTATTAAATATATATATATGGCTTTTTGTGATAATACACAGATATTACATAGTTAATATCTAGTATAAAGTACAGATAACAAAATGATAATTAACTGTTATTATAGTAAATAAAGTTTAACCCGACGTTAAGATGGGTATTTTTTGCCTCAACGTATCATACTAATACGTAAGTATCGCCTTTTTTTTGGCCTGTTTTTTTTTTTTTCTCTTTTTTGTTTTTTTTTTTTTTTTTTGTTAGAAATGTTTTGTTACAAATAATCCTATCCGATACACACGTTTACACAAAAATAATGTTTGTAAATTTATATAATCAACTTTACAACTAGTCTATTAAATGGAATCCAATCATTTTTTTCTCATCTTAGTCGAAATTCTGTTAATATTAATGTTGGTATTTATTGTGTAGGTTGTTGTTGCTGCTGTTGCTGAGGTTGCTGAGATTGCTGTCTTTGTTGCTGTTGTCTAGCCTGATATAGCATGTCCTGAGGTTGCATGCCTAAATAGGTAATCATAATTCGATTTTATTTATAGTTTTTTTAACGATATCTTAACATTAAATTAAGCTAAAACCAACCTGGGTTGGAACCTTGCGCAGCCTGTATAAGAGACGTTAGTTGCATCCTACGACGAAGATTAATCAAATCCGCGGTCGATGGTTGCTGTAGCATTGCGGCAGCGGCGGCCGGATTAACCTGTCTGTGAAGCATATGCTGTTGCAAATTTTGTTGTTGCTGTTGTTGTTGTTGCAATTGTTGCAACAGTATTGCTTGTGCTGCTTGTTGCTGATGTAATTGTTGTAATGTCGGTGTCTGTATCATTTGTGTAGTTTGGATTGGCTGCTGCTGTTGTTGTTGCTGCTGTTGCTGGCGCATTAGTAATTGTTGTTGCATTATTTGCAATTGTTGTAGCGTCTGGGCATTTTGGGTAGTTTGTGGTGTTTGTTGTGGCTGTGTTTGCGCTTGTTGTGGCTGAGAAGCAACAGTCACACTTGTCGGCAATGGTGAATCTAAGAAAAGTAAGCCAACAAGTCTTAACCCTGTTGTATTCACCCCTGTATTCATCCCTGTTCCTGTCGTAAAAAGAACTATTCCTCCGTTTGGATTAGGCGCATTAGAGAAACGTACGAAAGCAGCCTATGTGTGATTAAAGAATTTCATTTCGTTATTCATAAATTTAAAATTATGTTCAATGCCAAACGATGGTACGTACCAATTTTTTACTATCCAAGATACGCATTAATACCATAAATGTATTGTGATTGTCTTGAGATGCTTGAGATGCTTGAGGGTTTGGGGTTGGCAAAAATGAAACAACATGAGGTTTGGGATTTTGTAAAGCTGCGTCTCTCATAAAGTCTTTCGCAAGATTTATGCTGGAAATTTCCATTTTATCAGGCCAAGCCTGTATCATGCTAAAAAATTTGTTTATTAGACAGATTCGAAACGGACGTTAATCATAATCGATAAAAAAGAATCATTAATAGAAATATCTTACTAATCATTCACAGAAAAAGGGCCAGTTTTCCGTTGATTGCCGGGAAAAGCAGTCACATGACAAGTAAGCTCGCGTTTTAATCCAGTCTGCTGACTGTTGGCCGACCATGCAATATGGCCACTCCATAATGCATTCACTTTTTGGGGAATATTGGGGCGAATATTGGATCCCAATGCTGCACCAGTTGTGTTAGTAACTGATATTTGAGTACCATTGTTACTCGAAGAGGCGCTAGTACTGGGATTTGTCGATGCTATAGTTTTCGGAATTTGGACCCCAAGAGCTGAAGCTACGGATGTTCCGACAGTCGTTGTAGATATCTGTCCACCTTGCGTCGATGTTGGCATGTTTGGTATATTAAGAGTAGGCGCAGAAAAACTAGTAGCTGCAGTAATACATATATCAAAAATATATGTTGTTAGCTAGTGCTCACGCGAACGGTATGATTAATTATAAATACCAAGTGTACCTAAATTTTGTGTGCCTCCGACAGTAGGTGATGTCACAAAGCAATTTATAGATTGTGCATCAGAACCATGTGGAGAAGGTGATGTCACAAAATTATTTATAGGTTGTGAGCCGACAGGCACACGAACATTTTGTATGTTATTTTGACACAATTGAGTCATTTTAGATCTGACTATAGCATCAGCAAGATTTTGTTGACTTGCAGCCAACTCATTTTGCAAAAATTGATTTTGCTGCCTTAAAATTTGTTGTGTATTATTTGCTACTTGTGATCTAAATAGTTGTCCGTTCTGACGTAGAGCTTGGGAATTATTTGCCGCCGCTGCTTGCGCTGCTTGTGCCATTGTTAAGAATTGGGTACGCTGTTCTGGAGACATTGCGTTCCATTGAGCCTGAAATTGAGCTTTCATAGCAGCTGCAGGAAGTCTTGGTCCCATGGTCATTGGCGGTCGCATGGGTTGAGTACCTGAAATTGATACAGGTTGCTGTATGGAAGGAGGATGTTGAATTTGTATTGGCGCAGTTGATTGTACAGGCTGTTGTGGTGGTTTTGCAGATACTTGAGTATGTCCGAGCGCATCTTGTGGATTTGATAGTTGTGGTGGTATAGTATTTATTGATGTCAAAGCAGGAGAAGCTCTTGAAATTGCAACATTAATTGTCTGTGGAGGTTTAGAAGAAGGTGGTTGTACAGATTTAGTAATTGTTATAGATTCTTTTTGATTAGACGAGGGTTCTGTGACTAGTGGCTGCTGAACTGTCGAATTAGGTAATTGTTCGTCCGATGCTTCGAGTTTGACTCTCTTACTTTCAGGAGATGAACTGGTCAAAGTTGATGACGTTGCCTGGTCATTATTGTTCGTGTCATTTGTTGATGTTGAAGTTTCACACTTCCTTTTTTTGTCGGGTGTAGCTAAATATGACAATGCATACTTAATTAATTTTACGTAGAGGAAATCGCGATAGACTGGCTGAGGAAAAAAACCATTAATTCACCATCATTTGGTTGTGAAAATGTAAGTTTGAAATTTGCCAACTTTACGACATGTGAAGAATTTATGACCTCGGTAACATTATGAACTTCTACATCTTGATTGACCTAAAAATATTAATGTATCAATTATACAAAAAAAGTGACAAATTAAAAAAAAAAAAATTTAACGATGTATTGATATACCATCTCAACAAGTTTTTCTAAATCTGGGAAATCCCTTTCCGGAGTTATTAGAGAGAAATAAATGCATTGCTAATATAACAATAAAAATCATTAAGACATAATATGTATAAATAGACAATTATTTGATATTAATTATATGTAAACTTACCTCTTGCATCTCTTCTACTATTTGTGGAATAGTAAATTCATCGTACTTACTACTTATATTACGATGAACAGGATCAGGACAGGGATGACTGTTCGACACAAGAATACAATGCCTTATCGGTTGTGGTGCATCGGGTTCCATCTGTGATTTATGTAAGTCAAACATCTCAAAGAAGAAAAAGAAATCCTTAGCACATAGAGCGATATACAAATGGAATATTATGGTTTATTTAATATTTCGTTACCTCAAGAGCTGCGACCAAACCTTCAGCTACTGCGTTTTCATATATACCCCCATTTAAAAATTCTATTTCAGATATTAGCTCGTCGAACCGCGCTAAACTTTCAAAATAATGGGATTTTACAGGTATAGTTGAATATGGTTCATAGTGTCCAAAGGTAACGAGACCACACTTCAGGACGGGCTATATTTCAAAAACGATATGAGATCTTTGTTTTCTTATTCTGACTATTTAAAAAAAAAAAATACTGAGATACGAAAACTCACCACTTTTTCCTTTTTTTCTTTATCCTCTTGTTCTTTCACATATGGAGCTTTTAGGTGTCTACATTTATAGGTAAATACACAAAGTTTTTTTTTAATCTAAGTAATAAATTTTGCTGCAAATAAGTTAGATCCTACGCCTCATAATTCCTCAAATTTTTATAATAAATGCAAAAACTGAAAACCTTTAACGGTCTTTGAACACTGTTACGATGATACGTAACCGAAGTTATATATTATATCCTTACTTTAGTATCGGCCTCAAATAAGTTCCAAAAATAGTTTCGTAGTGGTCTTCTAATCGATAAGTTGCATCTAAAACAACTACAACCAGACACTCTGGTGGTATAGTGCTTTTACCCTTCTGTGTCATATGAGTATATAAGCGCGCAAAAAATACTTAAATATAATAATCGACAGCAACAAACTTCGGCGAAACGAGCCAAAAAAAAAAAAAAATTATATATATTATATATAAAAAAAAGGGCAAAAATTGTGCTATGAATTGATAAAGCCGCACACAGGTTGTGTTATTTTATAGATTAAACTGACAAAACCTGAATGCGTAACTAATAGAACTTCCAAATAAAACGTAGAATGGAAACTAAAAGTTTTGGTACTACATAACGTTACAATTTATTGCACAAGTTTGCAATGCGAATTCGTATACAAACTTCCTTATTTGTTCTTTGAACAATGCTCTTTATTTTTTTAACTCAAAAAATCCGACGATGATTAGGTCACGAGTCGACCTTTGTCACTATCCAAGCCCACTTGTGCACGTGATTGTGTGATACTCTCGTTTATTCGCATCACACCCAAACTTCTTTTGAGGTCAACAGGATTCTTCCATGTTACATGATCTTTATTTGTAAGATACAGTGGCTTAATGCTTATTTATACCTATCATTGATCGAATTAAAATTTGATACAATGTTAAAGTTAATATAAAAACTTCTTTTTGGTATTGTGGGAATACAGATATGGTAATATGTTAAATTCCTTTAGCTAAAAAGCTATTAAATGTACGGTCAATCCCACTGCGGACGCATTTCTAAACTCCATTACGACAAAATGGATTTTACATCAAAATTTTAATCTAATATATTATGCAATTTAAATTATAGTTCGTCATGGCAAGATATTAAAGCCTTTAGAGTGTGATGAAAATATCTTTTTATATGTACATACGTAGGTATTTTTATTCTTATTTAGATATATATCTGATTATACGTAGTATATAAATACTTTAATTACTATATATACGTATGTACGTACAGTCTAACCACTGGGTTAGTAATCAAATTTTAATGTGTTTAGGTAATATTGCATATTTAGAATGTAGTTTAGATCTTTTTAAATATACCCCCGTAAAGATAAAAAATAAAAATAAAAAGTGTATTAGGCCATACAAATTTGATTACTTGGTTTTCATAACATGAAACTTTTAAATAGACCCGGCCGGCCGGCTTTTT